ATATATATAATTAAATAATATCAATCCCTACATAAATTTCATATCAGAGCCATTATTTTTTTAAAAAAAACGTTTTAGACTTAAAAATCTTTAAAAAGAAAACAAAAATAATAATAATAATAATAATAACTGATCGAACAAGAACTGATTTTTACCCGGTTTAGATTCTATTAATTTTTTTAAGTTATTCAAACTAATATTTTACTCAATTTCTTATTCAACGGATTGAACCAACAAATCAACCAAGAACAAAATAATTCATATATATTTATAACTACTATAAAAAGGATATCTTTCAATAATTATCTCTTTTATTTTTACTTTTGTTAAAAATAATTATACCCTCAAACATCAATAAAAAAATAACATGCGACCAAAAAAAATATAACTAATTATTAATTTTACCTTTTTACTTTATTTTTCAATAGAGATACGAAATGTTTTTTTTTACCCTACTAGTCCATCTATGAAAATAACAGGATGCAACTGATTTGAAAAATATAATTAAAAAAAAAAAAAACATTACATGCACTTTATGATTTGTTATAATTCATTTTCTCCTGAAGTTCTAGTTCTATATTCTACTAAAAACACAAATCAGCTCTGGTACTGTTTGATTTCGTGTAGTTTAATGTGAATTTTTTAAAATGTAATGCTAATAACACATTTTAGATACACTTTGTTTGAACACATTCCTTTTATTGATTGAAATTTATTAAAAATTACAAAACTTGAAAAATCTCAAGCTCTAGTTAATAAATCTCTTGTTATATTTAAATTGTTAATCAATTTTAACAAATAAAAGAAATATGTTAAGAGGTGTTTAAGGGACCATAAAATATGGTGTCAACACTCTTCTATTATTTATTTACAGTATGTCAACAAACTATAGAGAGATATAGTAAATACGTCGTATATTATAACAGTAAGTACATAAATCACCAAATACAAAACAAACGTCCATAAATCAACAAAATCCCTCATTCACAGGAAATAAAAGCTCACAGAACATTTTTATGCATCGAATTACTGGAGCATACTTGGAAAACCGAAATAGGGGTCAGATGAAAAAGACTATGACATTAGGGAAAGGAGGTGAAGTTCTCAGAATATAACAACACAATTGGCCATTTCTTATTTTCAAGCCAACGGCAGTAACCAACTATATTTCAGAAATTCCAAGAGACATTCCAATGCCAGGACTTAGTTTTTTATTTATATTATATAAATAATAATAATAATTCCTGACTATGATCACGACTCATAGCGTGTAATGTGATATTTGGTGAGACAAGTAGCCCCACTGATTAAGTGCACAAAGTAATGTAAAAACTCATAGGGTATACCTGCCCAAGTCCCTTTGAAACACAACTCTTAAGAAAGTTAGGAACTTGCCCCAAATACACGGATTCTCTGTTGGATTTGAACCCTGCAGCAAGGACAAGCAGCCTTTCCTTTTCTTCCATACTCATCACTGCAACTAGCACACATAACTTGGTGTGCACATGGCAAGAAAACTATGGAGACTTCATCTTCCATACATATAATGCATTCTCTGTTGCTATTCACTTCTTTCTCTGAAAAATCCTCAAGATTATCCAATTCTTGGAGCAGCCTGGCAATGGTCTCCCTTTGGGGCTTTGCACCCTCAGAGTCGCTTGTCGGTGACGTGCTTGATTGGTGATGCAACTCAGCAGACTGAGCAGATGCTTTCAGGCGCGAAAGCTCCTGCTCGAGTCTTAGAAGATCATCCTTGTGACGCTGGAAATCTATCTCTATCTTCAGACGCAAAGCCTCGAGCTTCCTCTTATTGTTAGACTCAGCTGCTTCCTTAGAGCGGCGTTCCTCCTCAACTAGTGCTAAAGCTTCCTCTTTAGCCTTCATCTCATCCTTCCACTTAACCTGTAACAAGTTATTACACAAAATAAATGCTTCAGCATTAACTAATGCTGCGTAATATAAAATATTAGTATTTTCAGAGAAACTGCAGTTTTCACAGAATGAGGACTCAGTGGTGAGGAGAAGTAACCAGTACAAATTTATTGCAAGGAGATTACAAAACCATAGCTAAACTAATTGAGACGCTTCCATGATTATGAATAAGAAAACACCTAGAGAAAATAATTTAAGGATCATCAAGGATTGAATTCACATGTCCAATGAAATAAATACCCATGATAACTCGAACCAATTAATCTACACAATCTGAGGATTAAATATGTTTTTAATCTCTCTAGATAAGGAAATATTCATTTTTTGTTTCTAAAAATAGTTGTATAATTTTAGTCCCTTACTTATGGAAATGTGTACAAGTAGTCTTTGTCCTTCCTTTTCACTTCAGTTAACGTGTCAATAAAACCATACTAGACACATTGCCACAACCGAGCAACTAAAAAAACGGTTTTTTTAGGGACTACAAGCGATCATTTGCCTATTTATAATGACTGAAAATATATTTAACCCTTAATTCAAATTCAATATAATGACAAACACTCTGAAGGTGTTGAGACAATGCTCAAACTGCATAGATACATATCACAATATGAAAGGTGGTTTCTTTGTTTCGGATACCCCACCCAAAAGAAAGACGATGGTATGGTGCCAATAGGAATATAAAGTTGAAAATAAGCAGGCAAAGAGCAACACATACAAATATGCTTTGCTTGATTAGATTGGCTCAAATCAAATGGTTATGTCGTGTCATAAGAGATATATTATCAGCAATAGCATCTAAAGAGCAAACTTCCACATGACTGACAAGATGGCATAAACACAGCCAAGCATCATCCCAATAGATGGAATTGGCAACATAGACCAATCATCACTATTTTGCTCTATAAAAATCAAATTTTTGAACAAAACAACTAAAAGGAATTAAATTAGTATATATTTCAGCTAGATTATCCTAATTCCTAACATATCAGAGGCATTTTCTTCGTTGGGATGAAGTTAAATCCTATTTATTATCAAGCATTTTGAAGATCCCACTCAAAACAGGATTTACAGCTCCAAAACATAATCCTGAAACACCACCCATAAATATTTTTCAGGCTTGTCAATAGAATTGTTATCAATTCCAAATAGTGACAGGAAGTAGCTAATCCCAAAAACACTATAGCAAGATAGTGGGATGGCTGCTATATCAGTGATTACAAATACAAGTTCAATAATATTCAGAGAAAACCCCCAATTTGTCTTTCAGGTGTCATCACGTTAGCCCTTCAAAAATTTGGATTGTCAAATTACCTTCAAAGATTTAATTTGTCATCAGGTTAGTCCTCTAAAGATTTTGCCACCAAATTAGTCCCTCAAAGATCTAAAATGTCACCGTATTGGTTCGTATAAAGGATTAAAGTGATAAAAAAGAATTTGGTGAAAAATTAAACCTTAAGATAAAAAATCCAAAATTTCACCAATCTAGTCCTTATTAGAGGAGAAAAAGGGGAGACAAGAAAGATTTAGAGACAACTTTGGAGACAATATATTTCAGAGACTAATATGGTGACAATCTTTGAAGGTCTAACATGGATACAAAAAGAATCTTCAAGAGACTAATCTGGTGATCAAATTTTTTGAAGGATTAATGTAGTAACGCATGTACCTTTGTAGAGTTATTTTTTTCTAATTTATATCATCCTCAATCCAAAGTATAATTAACAAGTAAATATCAATAAAAGCTATGTGGTTGTAATTGAGATGAGGCCATGGCTGCCAAGAAAAATGAGAACATAGGAATGAAGAAAAAAATTACGGAATTTAATTTTTTCAAAAAGAACACATTAGATACAAAAACAGAGACCAAAATAGTTGTTTGGGGGGGGGGGG